TTAATGTCCTATATATACCCAAAAAAATATTATGCAAATTGTGTATTGTTTGTCCTAGTTGGTTGTGTTTGTACATATATAGCACAATTAATATACTTGTGTATTAATTGTGCAGATTATGTATTTTGCATAAGTTGTATGATTATTGCAATTATGTATTGATTATATTTCTATAAATTGTGTATTGTTTTGTGCAAGTTGTATGTATTAATTGTATATGTTTTCGTATGTGTATTTGCGGAAATTGCATAGTTGTGTATTTAAGGAATATGTGCTAGTTATGTATTGTTCATATTTTGGTAAGTTGTGTATTGATTATATTTTTGAGCAAGTTGTGTAAATGCCGCAATTGTATTTGTGTAAATCGTGTATTTATGCTAGTTGTGTATTTTCATATTTGGGGTAGTTATGTATTGTATGTATTTGTGCTAGATATGCATTTGTACAAGTTGTGTAATAATTATGAAAGATGTGTAATATTTGTATAAGATGTGTATTAATTGCGCATGTTGTGTAATTGCATATGGACGAATTGTTTATTTATACCTTTGCGTATTGATTGTCATTGTGCAAGTTGAGTAATTATATAGCAAGTTTTCTTGTATTAATTGTGCAAAGATGTAAAATAATTACACAAACTGTGTAATAATTGTCCATGTTTTATAATAATTTTTGTGGAAGTGGAACTGGTGCAACTGTATTTGTGTGTGAAAATTGTGTATTTTGTGTAAGCTCTGTAATCTGATAAAATAGATCTCAATGGTGTAAGTGTATTTTGGTTTATGAGTCAATGTGTGGGTATTTTGTGAAAATTATGTTTGTGAAATTGTGTAATTTTAGTGAAAGCGCATTTTTGATTGTCTAAATGCATAAGACTTTTGATATATTTGTGCAAAATACTGTACTTTGTGTAAATGTCATACTCTGAGTGTACATGCAATATTGTGTAAATGGTATATTTTTGTATGCAACTGACATATTTTGTATGAAAATGTCATATTTTTTTGTGATGGCATATTTTGAGTGTAAATAATATATTTTGTGCATAAATGGCATATTTGGCGTGTAAATGCTGTATTTTCTGTGTGTATGGCATAAATTACATCTGATTAATGGGGAAATGGTGGCAAAAAAACTAGGCTATTCTCTATGAATGCATAGGTTTTGAAGTATGTGTAGGTACGCATGATTGTATTTGCGAGTGTTGGTTTAGAAACAAGTTAGCTGATTTGCGTAGCAAGACTAAGATTTTTTGAGGTGTAGAAATGATTAGCCTATGAATATAGTGGCTAACATCCAGCTGAGTTGCTAGATGGATGAATTGAGGTGCGACATTTGGATATCTATTTGATGGATGTGAGGACAGTTGACTAGCCTATGAACACAGCCACTAATCTGCTGTACTGCCAGATGTGTGGTAACTACTTGTGGATTATAGTAGAATATCTAGCTATAGGGTTTCATAATTGCTGTTGTGTATAAAACTAGAATGATAGCTATTTATTAAAACTATTATAGTAAACTAATACTTTAAGTGGGATCCCTTGGTTGTTTTAGGCATAGGGTGGACATGAATGAGATTGGGTGGAAATATATAGGAGCTGCCTCGTATGGGCCAATAGGACCTCTGCAGTTACCTTTATTCTTATGTTCAGCTCACCTGCTATGCTGCCAGATGTACGATTCAGCTTAAATTGCAGTACGACATTTGGGCTTCTGTTATACTTTTGAACTTATCACTGAATAATGATTACAGTTGTGGATGACTAAAATGTATATTCTTAGTCCTCTGATTAGGTTAGGTGGGGATGGTTAGTCTAGTCATTTTTGAATAATAACATTAAATACATATGCCAGTAGAACGCCAAAGGTCGCATTGGTTGTCTGGTGGCGTCATACATAGTTGACCAGTAAGGTGCAGTAATACCTTCATACCTATGTGCTAATGGCCAGCAATACCTTATCCCTATACCTGAGGTCGCTTTTCACGATGTCACAAAACAACAACAATAACTTTTCCGTAGAATGTATTTGTTTGTTATATATAATATGATAGGTTAGGTTAGGATGGTTTGATCGGGTTTATGAATAACGGAAAATATAAGCAATGAGCGAAAATACGAGCTATTGTAGCTGAATATCAACTTTGATGAAGCACAGAGTACAGTTGAGGTATTAAGCCAGATTAAGAGTTCACACTTATGTCTGAACCTCCTGGGATCCGCATTTAGCGCGCCTCGCGCCGCAGAAGGCCTTATCTTTTTAAAACATGAGAGGCTTGCTTTTACTGAATGAGTTTTTTTTATTTGTTATATGCCACAGCAAGGTGTGGGAGGTATGTTTTGAGAGAATGTGAGACGTGTAAGAGGTTAAGGTCAATATTGGTTACTACTGAACACGCATTGAAATCACCAATGCCCAGGCCTCTATTTTTTAATATAAACGACTGATAGAAGTTTTTCATTTTATTTTTGCCCTATGCATAATAAATGATCCTTCAAGAAAGATTGTCAAAGCTCAAATTACATTCTCTAGAATGACGACAAAGAAGAAATAGGGGGTGACATGATAGAGGTGCGACTGAATGGTCATAGTAAAGGGGAATATTAATAACCTATTAAACGTATCAACATGAAACAGAATAGGAATGAATTGGATAAGTTTTATATTTAGGAAAAAAGACCTGGGTAAATACAGGTAGCAGGGAACGAACTTGAAAATACACACATAACTTCTTGCAGTGCTGAAGTTATGTTCTTCCCTCACATACATGATCTTCTTTGATGCCCTATGCATAATAAACGATCCTTTAAGAAAGATTGTCAAAGCTCAAATTACATTCTCTAGAACGAAGACGAAGAAGAAATAGGGGTGACATGATAGAGGTGTGACTGAATGGTTATAGTAAAGGGGAATATTATTAACCTATTATACGTATCAACATGAAACAGAATGGGAATGAATTGGATAAGTTATATATTTAGGAAAAAGACCTGGGTAAATACAGGCAGCAGGGGACGAACTTGAAAATACATACATAACTTCTTGCAGTGCTGAAGTTATGTTCTTCCCTCACATACATGATCCTCTTTGATTAATGTAATGGGCTATGGTTGGAAGTAAATATGAAATTAAAAATAGACTAGGGATGATGGTATTTTACATTAGGTTTCAAGGTTAATGTTGTATCGCAAAACACACGACTCATAGACCGGCTTTTTAATCCCCTCGAACATGCCGGTGCAGGAACGCTGAGCGGCTAGCTGGTGACGTCATTGGCCATTAGCAATGTCTGTGCAGGGTCACTGAGCCAACGAAATTTGGGGATGCCAGGGACCGGCTTTTTAATCCCTAGGCAAGTTGAATCGAGAAAACCCAGGGTGCGTAGACCGTGCCCGGAAAAAACAAAAACGCACGGTCTATGTCGTACTTCAAGTTCGTGAAACTAGGGGTGCGTAGACAGACCCCGGAAAAAAAATTGCAGGTCTAAAGTTGAAAATAACCCTGCGACGTAGAGCGGCAGTCGAAAAACAACAAAAACGGCCGGTCTAAAAGTTGAAAATAACCCTGTGCCGTAGAGAGACCCTCCAAAAAACCAAAACGGACGCTCTATGGGGTGACTCCATAGAGCATCCCTCCAAAAAACAAAAACGGACGCTCTATGGGGTGACTCCATAGAGCGTCCCTGGAAAAAACCAAAACGGACGCTCTATGGCATCATGCCATAGAGCGTCCCTGGAAAAAAACAAAACGGACGCTCTATGGCATCATGCCATAGAGCGTCCCTGGAAAAAAACCAAAACGGACGCTCTATGGCATCAATCCCACTACTAACGTCCATTGGTGCAACGTTGGTTTTTGTGCTGATCAAATCCGAGATCTCTAACCGGGTAAGGGTCCGGTCCCCTCGGTATCGTACCTTGATCCGCTAGATCATGGTAGCTCTCGTCGGTGCTGCCTAATGTTTACCCATCCGGCAGTGCTGGGTGCAAGAGTCTTGCCTAGAGGGCTGCGCTTTACTTAAGAGGTCTCCAGTCTCTTACCGGTATAATGCACCGGATCAGGGTGGGGTCTGACCTTCTAGAGCAAAGTACTCTCATCCCTGTAACTATTACTAGTACTACTGCTGCAGCTAGTGTGGCTCTACAACTAGTTTATTATTGTTACTAATGAATTTGATTATCAATATTATAAACAATATTAAAATAAAAATTGAGTTGAAAAAGGACAGTAATAGGTTAAATCTGAATTTCAATTTTGGTTAAAATCTGATGATGATAGTTTATGTAAGGGAGTCCAGCCCGCCAAACACACACCGAAACTACGACGTTGGTACAACGTTCGAACAAGTTTTAACACCTCCTAACCAGTTTTAACAACCAATATAGCAAGTTGTAATAACGTTCCAATACGTCATAAACACGTTAAACCAAGATGTAACCACTTTATTACAAGTTGTAATAAGCGGAAAATAGAGACAGTTTCGGTTTGTGTTTGCAGGGTGGCCCGTCTGTCTAGTATATTACTAGGCCCGTCTGTCTAGTATATTACTAGGCCCGTCTGTCTAGCATATTCGTCATATCAATAGGGTTGGAGAGCGAATAGACTGATGTGTATATATAAATGTAGAGTATATACAGGTTGAAAATAGACTCGGGGGAAGATTAATGAGGATATAAAGGTATATTTTATTATATAATGTTATAAAAAATGATTATACACATTTTGTATAAAAATTAAAACAAATGTTTACAAAATAAAACTGGTGTGAAGAAAGTGGTTACAATTTTAATGATTTGTTATAATAAAAAAAATGCGTGATAATGATAGCTTTATAAAAAAATCATATCTACGAAAGTGAAACTACAAATTTTGTGTGTGTATTAGCTCATATGTTAGTAAAGCACCCCTCAAAACAATACAAATTAGCAATGCAAAGCAATCTATTGTGATAGATCCCCCTGCTTGTAAAGTGAGGGGGATAGTGGAGCGAGTCTACCTCAACCTTCGTGGTGGGGGAGTGGTTGTAGGTTGGTGTCCGTCAGGGCGTGTTCCTCCGCCTGTAGTGCCCTCACGGCCTCAGGGTGGATGAAGTTAGCAGAGGGTGTGCGTCCCCTCTACCGTGGACCAAGGAAGAAAGTTGGGGAGAATACGGAAAATAGTGGATGAAGGGGGAATAGTGGATAAAGCAGAAATAGTGGATGAGGGGAAAATATCGGAATAGAATGACAAGAATCCCCAGAGTATTATGTTTCTTTCCCAGGAGAGGCCAAGGACCTGGAGACTTGCTGTTTTATAAACAACACAAAATGGGGATCATCTCAGTTATAGAATATTGAACAAAGTAGAAAACGTTGATAAGGGACGCCATGATGGCTCCTTGAGCTAGCAACAACAATAGTTTCACCTAAATTAATCCACGCCAGGGACCACAGGCCAAATCCGGTTCCATTCTACAGAGACACAAGGAACAAGGGACATTAGATCACCCTAACCAAAAAAAGGCCACCGGACAGGTGGGCGAGCCGAACATACAATCAATGTAAACAAAGCACAAAAACATGATGAGTCTCCGAAACGAATGAACCACCTAGTCGTGAAGTAGTTCACTCATTAGTTCACCTGTGCACCACCAGAGGATTGAACATCATGCTCCTCAATTCTCCCCACCCCGTGTTCTAGCCTTGACACTAGTTGACCAGACCACACACTAGAAATTGAAGGGACGACGACGTTTCGCTCCGTCCTGGACCATTCTCAAGTCGATTGTGGACTTGAGAATGGACCCCCACAATCGACTTGAGAATGGTCCAGGACGGACCGAAACGTCGTCGTCTCTTCAATTTCTAGTGTGTGGTCTGGTCAACATACTTCAGCCACGTTATTGTGACTCATCGCCTACATATTGACACTAATTATTTTGTGTGGCATGATTGTCCATAACATCTGTTTCGCTCCTCTTTTGCGGTAAATCAGGTAAGTGTTAGACGTCCTGGACACTGCTGTGTCCTATGAGGCATTTGCTTGTGTATTTTTTATTATATTTTGGTATTTACTTAATGTTTATACCTCACTTCTTGTGTAGAGTCCGACTAAAGGTGCATCTTAAACTGCAAGTTTCTAGAATGATAATTTCTAGGTGTTTACTGGTGTTGCCTCGGCCCAACCAGAACTGCCTACCCTGGTGGCTTTAGGTAGCGGTTTCTCAGAAGCCAGCTTCCTGAGGAAGGCGCCTCGCCTTTAGCAATGTATGGGTCTTTGTTTCTATGTGTAGTTTTGTGGATAAGGGGAGTCAGTTTTTTCATAAAAGTGTCACACACAGGGTGCTCAAGTGGACTTTATACAATGCGCCGCTCATATCTTTAACTACTGCGTTTGTACCCTAGACTGTTTTCAGTATTAATGAGCTACAACAAGTGGTAATGCTGTAGCATCACTATTGTCACTATTCTTGGTGATTTTTTCTTGGCCTATATTCCAGGACCCTGCAAGCCCTTTGCAGTTTTAGGGAAATTCATCATTTACCAGCCATCTGATTCTGTCCCGACTAGGTGTGAGTTTGAAAGATGTGCCTCAGTTTTCTGTATTTTGATGGCCACTCTTACTACCTCCATTATGCCCCCTGACGGGTGTGGGATATGTTCCACACTGAGGCCTGCGGTGTGTGTTATCACTGGTTTAAAGATAGATGTTCGTTATTCCCTCCTTTGTGTGAGAGATTCCATAATGGCTGCTCTCCACACGTGTGTTCTTTTCGGTTTGAGTCTACTCGTTCGTATTTCTGGGTTTAGTTCACATCCTTGAAGGCATCTTCCTCTAGAGTCTAGAGTCTCGGCTTATTAGGTATCTACTTGCTTTGTGAGCCACGCTTTCCCACAGACACAGGTTGCTGCTTAACATCGATGTGGCTGCTCTGGGGTACGTCCCTTTCTCTTTTCGTGATCCGGACTTGGAGCAGTTGATGATATCTTTATTCATCATGTTTGCTTCCTTATTTTCTTCCCTGAGCTCAGTGGGTGTTGTTTGACAGACCTAGGAGCTTACCCCTTTACTCTATGTTCCGAAACGTCTGAGGGCTATGTAGTGTTTGTGTGTTACTGAGGAAGTCTTGGTTGTAGGGTTGATGTAAAGTCATGACTTGGTTACTGACTTTAATACTTAATATGATTACATGACTAGTAGCCACCAAGCTTGGCGGGCGTCCTGTACGCTCAATTGTTTACCTTCTCCTTCTCTCTGGCGTCTGCTCCGCCACACATAGAAAACGGATGGTACCATTTTCTGTGAACATGACAGGCTATAGAGTCAGGGATGGGTGATACTTGATTTTGGGCCTTCTGTAGGGACTGCCTCTTCCACTTGGACGGTATAGGTATTTGAACCGCTACTTTCCGCTGAGGATCCGCTATCTTCTGTTTCTTGGGGGTATTGAAGCCATTGATCCAGCCCTGTGGTCAGACGTTTTCCCTGTCTGCTACGTCCTGGCATGTCTGGGGCTGGGTTACATCCCGAGGTTGGTTGTTGGGTGCTTTTTCACCTTAGTTGGTCGTTAGTTCCCTTTGAAACAGGATATTTGCTTAAGATGGAGGGTTTGTTATTCGCTCCTTTGTGTAGAAATCCTTAATGGCTGCTCTTCCCCCGAGTGTTCTTTCAATTTGATTCGAGTCTACTCGTTTGTATGTCTGGGTTCAGTTTGCATCCTTGGAGGCATCTTATGTGCTGAGCTTTCCGAACTCCTGTCTCTCACTCTCAGCAGTACGATCTGATCTTTTTCGGTTCCTCCTTCAGGATCAGGGTTTTGTTTGAGAAGCCCATCTTTTGAATTCAGGCTTGCCACCTCTTATTGGTTGTGATACGAGATTCCTGATTCATCTCTCTTTCCTTTGAGGCCTAGCATGGCTTCTGATGTGTCCAAACACTTGAGTGGTATGAAGTTATCTCAGTCTGCCAGATGTTGGTATGTGGCAGTTTCCTTTGCTTTCTGAGCCTGATATCATGGAGGATCACAAGGCCGGTATACACTTGACCAAGGTTTTGTGTGTTTGGCCAGTTGATGAGCTGTTCTCTGATCGGTTCCATGGCAGCTTAGAGGCCTTGGTTTGTGTGCCTATGGCTGCATTCTTGTTGCTTGTGGTTGGTGCCACAGAGGCACTGCACAGGTTTCTCACCCCTTTCCTTTCAGGAGACTTTGGCGAGCTCCTGCTCCACTCGTCTGTTGTGACAATGGGCTGTGTTGGTCCGTACCTAGGATTTGGCTTGTTCTTTGTTCCTCTTATCCTTCTCTTCCCTTTCGCCTCTTTTTGTTTCAAGTGGATGCTGTGTCCTCAGTTCTTTGGCTGCTGCAGTGGTTTTTCAGCCACTCGGCTGTTTGCTTTTCATGCAGGATTCTGTCCATGCTGCTTGGAGAAGGCCATTTTAGGGCAGGTCCTTGCCTGTTGACGATTGAGGTAGACTTCTGCAGGAATCTAATTCCTGGGCGATTGCACTTTCTCTGGTTATTGTGCCTTCTGCTAGGGGTCGCTCTTTCATGTCACAGATGGGTATATTAGCTCAGAGTTCTTTGTGCAGGCCCATTTTGCAACGTTGGGCTATTCAGGAAGTATCCTGAGGCTTACAGTGAAGGTGGTCCTCAACACCACCTTAGGTGCTGGTGTTCCAACACCGGCAATCAACTCAGTCATCGCAGAGTGGTTGGATGCTCGAGTAGTCAATCTAACTCTTGTTCTGCGATGAGTGTACCAGTTGTTCCTCATCCCCAAGTGGGACTTGATAGGACTATGCTACGTTCTTAACCTTTAAGGTTTGAATCACTTCATTCTTTGTCCCAACTGTCTGCATAACCTCCTTAACTCAGGTGTTGTGCCTTGTGTTGCAGACGGTTCTCTGCATGTTGTCCCTAGATGTACAGGACATCTATTATCTTGAGGTTATCTTGAGATGATTTCGGGGCTTTTTTAGTGTCCCCGCGGCCCGGTCCTCGACCAGGCCTCCACCCCCAGGAAGCAGCCCGTGACAGCTGACTAACACCCAGGTACCTATTTTACTGCTAGGTAACAGGGGCATAGGGTGAAAGAAACATTGCCCATTGTTTCTCGCCGGCGCCTGGAATCGAACCCAGGACCACAGGATCACAAGTCCCGCGTGCTGTCCGCTCGGCCGACCGGCTCCCTAAATATAGAAATATATTTATATATTTTCCTAAGTATAGAAATATTGGCATATTCCTACTCAGGAATTGGTTAGCTTACTGTTGTGGTTGGTTGTAAGGTTGAATCTGTAATGTTTTTGAAAGGAAGACAAGAGTCGTAGAAGGTTCTCCCATTTGGTTTGAACCTGGCTTCATGCACGTTCACCAGGTTGGTGTGTGTAGTGGTAAGTCTCCTTCTAGTGTTAGGGGGTTCGCTATGCAGAAGTCTGAACTTTGCTTGCATTATGAAATATATTTACTAGTCAGGGACCGAGTACTGTTCTGCTTGCCTCGGTTCAATCCATTTTGCTGCCAAGACCCTTGGGTACAGGCTCCATGGGCCCCTTGATGGTTTCTGGTGTGTCAATTTCCCTATTTGGGCTTGTGTGCTTGACGCCTCCTCCTCCCTGTACTCGGCCTTTTCATGAACGCCTCAGCCTTAGATTAAGGATCTGTGACCTGTACACACTTGGCCACTCAAGTCTGTTGGGTGGGTCCATTACCTTGGGTTCAGCATGGCTCACAAGTTTGTGGCAGTTTAGCATGTTGTGCAATTGCATTATCTTCTGGTGGTCTCTGTGGTGCAGCTCCTCTCCGACTGTACCCTGTGCTTCATTGTCAGCATCGTGAGGTCGCTTTGGTCTTGTCATTTTGACTCTGTGTAGTTTGTCTTCTGAATTCTTGAGGTTTGGCTCTGCATGCAGTTCATGTTCAGGTTGTGTCCAACCTCCTAGTCGACGACACAATCGATACCGTCAATGCCCAAAATCCCCCCCCCCCCCCACCACCACACACTAACTAGCGGTTTCAGCGAAAATGATTGGGAATGAAGCCAATCAGCAACCAATACTGAAGCAAAAACCTTCAACTTCGCTGACGAAGCCGCCCCTCGCCGAAGACAATGAAAACATCAGCCTCTCCGCACCTCCAAGACAGATGACAAAGGAGAGGGTCTTCCAGCTTCAGCAGTGAGAAGTGTTCCCCGCCTTGCCCGCCAGTGGAGTCACCACACTCCAACCTAACACATGGCGGAACACCATTGGAATTAGTACAGTTCACGTAATATGACATATTGCCGCCATCACTGCACAAACAATCAACAGGTTGTTGGTAGACAATGGATTGTTACCTGTGACGATAACTGCAGATTACTTCCTGCTACTGCAACACAACCTATAGTATCTCCCCCCCCCCCCAGGCTCTGCAACACCGACAACACCACCGGCAACACAAACCACTGTACTTCCTCCTCCTGCAACACCGTATACAGCAACAACTGTAGAATACATTAATCTTCCGGGCCTCGTAGCCTGGTATGGGGCCTCGTAGCCTGGTGGATAGCGCGCAGGGCTCGTAATTCTGTGGCGCGGGTTCGATTCCCGCACGAGGCAGAAACAAATGGGCAAAGTTTCTTTCACCCTAAATGCCCCTGTTACCTAGCAGTAAATAGGTACCTGGGAGTTAGTCAGCTGTCACGGGCTGCTTCCTGGGGGTGGAGGCCTGGTCGAGGACCGAGCCGCGGGGACACTAAAGCCCCGAAATCATCTCAAGATATAACCTCAAGATAACCAATCACCGAATCAGCTACAACACCTGATGTCTCCGACCGAGACGAAACTTCTCCATCATCTGACGAAGAAACATCTGAGGATGTCACTGTGGATTGTGAGGACGGTGATTACCAGCGGTCACAGACATTCAGTGTAACTATAGTAGTGTATCTAATACTGTGATTCTCTGTCTTCTGTCGCTTAGGTACTCCCTGATCCGCTAGAGCTCCATCCAAGCCTCACAGACCCAGCAGTAAAATAGGTACCTGGGTGTTAGTCAGCTGTCACGGGCTGCTTCCTGGGGGTGGAGGTCTGGTCGAGGACCGGGCCGCGGGGACACTAAAGCCCCGAAATCATCTCAAGATAACCTCAAGAAGCCCCTCCTGACACAGTCTTCAGCATGTTCATTGGCCTTCTGTTGGGGTACTGTGTCGAACACTCTCAGGCAGCCTGCGCCCACACACGTCTGTTGCGTCCTTGACAGCATTCTAACAGCATTGTGAGGCAATACATATTGTCCTTGGACACAGGTAGTGTCTATGTGTCTTCAAGGACAGTGAGCACGAACATGAGTCTACATGTATAGAAAATGTGTCTTCACGTACATTGAACATAACCATGTGTCTTCATGAACAGTGAGCATGAGTATGTGTCTTCATGTACAGTGAGCATGAGCATGTGTCTTCATGAACAGTGAGCATGAGTATGTGTCTTCATGTACAGTGAGCATGATCATGTGTCTTCATGTACAGTGAGCATGAGCATGTGTCTTCATGTACAGTGAGCATGAGCATGTGTCTTCATGTACAGTGAGCATGAGTATGTGTCTTCATGTACAGTGAGCATGAGTATGTGTCTTTATGTACAGTGAACATGATCATGTGTCTTCATGTACAGTGAGCATGATCATGTGTCTTTATGTACAGTGAACATGATCATGTGTCTTCATGTACAGTGAGCATGATCATGTGTCTTTATGTACAGTGAGCATGAGCATGTGTCTTCATGTACAGTGAGCATGAGTATGTGTCTTCATGTACAGTGAGCATGAGCATGTGTCTTCATGTACAATGAGCATATGTGCACTCCTGAGTGGGCAAGTCAGTCACTGTGGGAGCAGGAAGAAGACATCGCGACACCCAGCCCATCCTCCGAATAAACAGTACGTTTTTAATACTAAATGTAATAATACAATCCTGACTATCGGCATAGTACATAAATACACTTAATTGCCAGCATCCCACCAAAATATTGTGAATATTATAGTTTACCTGAAAAGCTGTATAGAAAACCACGACCTAACCTAACCGTGGGAGTGTAGGAGGACAAGCATGTAAATAGCATTTATTGCTTCGTAATTACAATTAATACTTAACCTATAGCTATATTGATATTACAATTTTATAAAACTAATAAAACAAAACTAAAGTCTTTTAATGAATTATAAAGTAACTCAAGATATTTTCAAATTTTGTATAAAATTTCTATTGTTAAATAAATTTGAAAAAGAAATTCTTTATATTTAAAACTTGTAGGTAAAAAATTTTCTTCATAGTTCTAGAGGAAGTCTTTAATAACACCACTTCAAGTTCTCAAAATACAGTCTCGGTCCCTGACATCACTGTAAACGCCGCCGTGCTCACGGATCTACTGTCAACAGCAAAGCCTGCTCCTCTAGTAACTTCAGCACAAGCCACCCAGACGCCGACGCCTCCTCTATCGACTACTGTTACAGTGCCACCTCTCGTGTGCGAACCCTCTCAACGTCCTAAATCAGCTGCAACTCCCATCAAGCCTCAACAGGCTGGAAGCTACCTCCAACGATAGCCTCACTGTATCGACGCGAAGCAAAGACCAACAAACACGCCAGGAAGCCTGGGAAGAAGAAAAACACCGACGATCTGCGCCCGAGTACATCAAGGAATCAGTAGAACACCAACGCAAAGCTGAAAAGAACACCGCGACGAGAAGCCCTGCCTCCAACAAGACACATCAGCGAGCACCCATGAGCACTCCACCTTACCACCAGCTACAGTTCTTACCCACGGTGTAAGATGAAAGATCGGCCACCGATCTTTCATCTCCCCTCTTCACCTCGTCTCCAGTTCCTCGCTCAAGATTTCTGCATCCTCGCCCCTGTCTTCAACCCCCTGCTTGCCTACTCTAGGGCCTTGAAACCGGAAACCGGAGAATTTACCACGAAATCTTCAACCTTAAACTTTTGAGTGTATTAATAGAAAATTAAATAAATATATGGGGAGGTAAATGTAACAGCACAATTAAGTATATTTATGTACTATGCAGAGTCGGGAATGTACTTATTACATTTAGTATTAAAACGTACTCTCTATTCGGAGGTAGGTCTGCGACACCACAGTGGGCCCTCTGGGTACCACCTACCAGGTCTTTGATGGACCGCTTGGCTCCAGCTTGAACGAGCACCTTAGCCACCTCGTCGACACCCTCTACAGCCATGGCGTAGTGCAGAGGCGTCCTCTCCAGCTGAAAGGGAAGAGAAACACATGACTCCCGTTAAACCAACATATTGTTACTGAAGAGGATTCCTCTACAGCAGTATACATCACCTCTTGCGAAGCCTGTACATCTTCCCTTCATCACATGACGGTTTTGTTTACATCTAGTAACCAGTTTACGAGAATCGAGACTTCACGACCCAATGTTATTATGGTTAGTAAGTGTATATGTTAGTAAGTGTAAACATATAAAAAATGCAGAGGCTTTGCAACTGGTTGAGTAAAAACTTGATATGAATCCTGGTTCTCAATCATGTCTCTATTCATCCAGTGATCGCCATATTTGTATTCCATTCAAACACGACCTCATGATTCAATCCCATACATTGCTCTGCAGCATCTGTTGTGTCTGGGTCTGTGAGGCCATGACCTCAAGTAGTTAAGATGACATTAATGTATTATGCGGGCCATAGTCATCCTGTGAGGGGTAGTTGATCCCCATACTCATCCTGTGAGGAGTAGTTGACCTCATACCCATTCTGTGAGGAGTAGTTGACTCCATACCCATCCTGTGAGGAGTAGTTGACCCCATACTCATCATGTGAGGAGTAGTTGACCCCATACTCATCCTGTGAGGAGTAATTGACTCCATACTCATCCTGTGAGGATCAGTTGACCCCATACCCATCCTGTGAGTGGAGAGAGACACCCCAACAACCACCACTACTTCCACAACAACCACTACCACCACCACCACCAACTCACATTATCACCAATCGACAGCAGCTCCGGGTAGCGGGTAGCCAAGATCTCCATGATGGCCTTCTCCTCACAGAGAGTGGCGATATGAAGCGACGTCCTGCCCCTCTCGTCCTTAGCGCGGGCCACCTCCAGGCTGTCAGCGATGTGCTCCACATGGGGCTCCGACCCGATTCTAATGGCCTTGTGCAGCCAATCTTTCTTCTCCTGGGGAAGGGTTTGTCGCAGTAGTTAGTGGGGGCTAGGGCAGTGAGGAGGTAGGAGATGGGTATAAAGGTACCTTAGATAGATGATATCATGTAGACGGTGGGAAAGAAATAACTTTGGACAGAGTGGAATGGAAGACAGAGCCTGCTGGAGACGACGTATATTTTTACCAGATTAACTATTCTCAGACGGGTACACTCATGAGAACTTTAATATAAGTATTTGAATCAATCGTCTCATGTCCTAATTTGCTTCACTATGTAAACCTGATTAATATAAACTTTTTCGTATTCTTTTATCCATCTCTAGACTTCAGTTATGTCACTCCTATATCGCTCTTATAGAAAACTTGAATAAATAAAATAGTATTAATTATTTATATTAAGAAACCTTAATTAACGTTTTCTTTGCAAGCGACATAGGGAAGGGGTGACACTACTGAAGTCATTAAATAGTGCGGCATAAGGAATGTTTCTATTTCCTGAGATTACCTCTCATTCTTCTCTGTTACACGTTGAAATGTCTCTGTTGCACGTTGAAGATAATTAATGTCCATTCTAACGTCCAGAGACCCAAACTGCATAATCTAAATGGGGTCTTAACAAGTGCAAGATAACGAACAATAACAATTAATATATCATTACAGTAGTTTCAAGATAATAAACCCACTATCCTATTCGCCATAATTCGAATAAATATTTTATTGCTTGAGATCCCCAAAAATTATATCACATTTTATTCAAACAAAAATTCAGGTAATTTTAATATTTTAAAAGAGGATTTCTTCAAACTCTATCAAATCATTACTCAGTCAGAAGACTATGTATATTTGTCACCATTAAATTGCACCTGCCAGTGTTTACCTCTAATTTAGAGGTTGAAGTATGTGGTGGTTTCACAGTCAATTTCACAGTCTTTAAATTATGTCACGCCCTCTTCAACAGAAACTCTTCCCCTATGAAGGAATCGATCTATGGCTAGCCAAGTGGCTAGCCATAGATTGATATTATATATATATATATATATATATATATATATATATATATATATATATATATATATATATATATATATATATATATATATATATATATATATATAGGACTGAGCAGCAACAGAACTGAGCAGTAGCAGAACCGAGCAACAACAGAACTTAGCAGTAACAGGTTTCAACAGCAACAGGACTGAGCAACAACAGAACTGAACAGCAACAGAACTGAGTAGCAACAAAACTGAGCAGCTACAAGACTGAGTAGCAACAGAACTGACCAGCAACAGGACTGAGCAGCAATAGGACTGAGCAGCAACAAGACTGAGTAGCAACAGAACTGAGCAGCAACAGGACTGAGCAGCAAGAGGGTTGAACAGCAACAGATTTCAATAACAACAGGGTTGAAAAATAACAGAAATTGAAAAGCAACAGGGTTATACAACAAATGAGTTATACAACAACAGGGTTGTACAGCAACAGAGTTATACAACAACAGAGTTATACAAAAACAATGGATGATCAGTAACAGGATTGTACAGCAACAGTTAAACAACAATAACAGGGTTGAGCAGCAACATAATTATACAACAGGGTTGAACAACAACAAGGTTGAACAGTGTTACGAACCTTACCTCCTGTGAAGGTTGGTTTCGGTTGTATAATGTTGGTGGACACAGTGGAGAGTGTATATTAGACTAAATCCCCAGCTGAGATCAGACTAAATCCCCAGCTGAGATCAGACTAAATCCCCAGCTGAGATCAGACTAAATCCCCAGCTGAGATCAGAGAGGCCGCGAGTCACCATTAATACTCCGCCCAGTAAAGTAGTGCTTTCTCAGCTGGAGATCATCAGAAATAATGTGAACTGGAATAGCCTAACTATGTAAGGGAAAAATGGACTCTATCAAACAGTATGCATGGAGAATATAGTAAATAAAATCATTAATGTGTTTGATAGCATATGTAAAGAATAGAGTATTAAGGGGCGATGATGCAAGAGAGGTGGACGCCATCTTGACTGAAGTGGAAGGTGTATCGCTGCCGACCGATCCTGCTATTTGAGGGGTTTTCTCCGGCCGTACAGTCAGATAAGCCTATCCTTGTCTATAACCAGGGTTGCAAGATTGGGTAGAGTAATATTACAGAAGTTGGAGAGGTTTTATAAGAGTCCAGGTTTCCTAGAGGCTAAAATATATTGGATGATAGCGGTTGTGGCTGGGTACACTTTTATTTATTTATTTATTTATATATATACAAGAAGGTACATTGGGTTTGTGAGAATACATTGGATAGTACAGTAATTACATTCTTGTAAAGCCACTAGTACACGGTACCAGGTATGGGACGGTGAGCCGTGGGGTGGTCAGAGCCACTTGAGCTTATAATACATAGTGATCTTATGTTGTGAGGAAAACGCCTTGTTGAATGTATTCCTGTGTGACTTATATGTATAAATTTGTGACTTGTGTACTAGGCTGTTTTCCTTACTCCTTACTCCCTAGACAACATTTTAAGGTCCACCACCACCAAATTCTCGATAGCTCTCTATGACAACAAAATCGTATCACTACTGATAACATCAGTAAGACACAGGCCCGTGATAAACAGCAACAGTTATACAACAGGGTTGAACAGCAACAGACAACAGGGTTGAACAGCAACAGTTCAACAACAGGGTTGAACAGAAATAGTTATACAACAGGGTTGAACAGCAAGAAGTTTGTACAACAACAGTGGCTAACAGCAATAATTATACAAGAACAGGGTTTAACAGCAACAGAGTTATACAACAACAAGGTTACAACATCCGGGTTTGTTCAGCAACAGGGTTGAACAGCAACAGAGTTATACAACAACAGGGTGAAACATCAAGAGATTTATACAACAATAGAGTTTTACAGCAACAGGGTTGAACAGCAACCCATTTATACAGCAATAGGGTTGAACAGCAACAAGTTTGTTTAGCAGCAGTGGCTAACAGCAATAGTTATTCAACAACAGGGTTGAACAACAAGGGTTATACAATAACAGGATTGAACAGAGACAGAGTTATTCACCAACAGAGTTGAACAGCAACAGGGTTGTGCAGCAGCACGGTTGAACATCACGGTTGAATAGTAATAGGACCGAGCAGCAACAGAGTTGTACAATAACAAGTTTGAACATCAGTATTTTTCAAATTTACAGGGTACTTACAAGTAGAGCGGGAAATAAACTCAGAACGCAAAATCATTACTCGACGATTTAAATAAACTTTTAGATTAAAGAAAAGATTGACAGATGCAATTTACTACTTACGGTTCTGAGACTGGGAAATGATCAGTTAGCAGGTTATTTATAATTGGGTGGAATTTTCGACAGGCATCTCTGAAAATGTTGAAATTGCCACATCTGAACGTGAAAAAATATCTGGGGAGTCGTGATCTAATTTGGAATTTTAAGCCAAAAGAATTGATGTATGTTTGAATTATTGTAAACAGACGTAAATTAATGTAATTAAGACGTAATTATAATGTAATACGTAATTAAGGTGAACAAACACCCAAGACAAGGTGCTGAGGCACTATTTATACCAGTCCCCCCCCTCGGACTTAACATTTAATTCATTTATCCATGCTAACCCATATTACTACTACCCAGCTTAGGATAACTGCCTACTACCACATGCTTTATACGCTTCTAACGAGTGTCTCTCGTGGGACACAAGATAAGGTTTAGAAGTTCTGTCCCCCGGAACAGTCTTAAGGAGCGGCAGAAGGCACCTCGAAATTGTTGCAACTTCTGAGGAACTGCACAGTGGCTCTCTGTCCGTGTTCTTCGGCCACCTCGAGTATGCTGTTGCCCTGCTCGTCCTCCACATCCAGCAGGTGGTCGTAGCCGTCAAGCATCAACTTCTTCAGCTCCTCAAGTTTACCTGTCGAAAGTGACACACACTTGTTACTTCATATTTACGGGTAAAGGTTGAAAAATGTCTCCCTTGTTTGTTGCTCAGTTTTCTATATATCTCTGTTGATAAGCCATGGAAGAGTAGAGAACGTGAGTGTCAGGAGGGGTCACTTTTAAATCATTTGCCTTATTGCTGATTTTGTAACAACAATGTTTATATGAATAAATAAGGCTTGGTGCAGTCGGATTTTGAAAATCAGTTGGAAAATAGTCATATGTGCAAAATGCTCTGTTACTGTCACAAGTACCTAAATCAAGACTCCTTCAAGGCTATTAACACCCATCTTCAGAAAGACATAACTGCTCTGGAGAAAGGGCAACACCGTGCAACAAAAATCATTCAAGAGCTAAATCAACTTGCGTATCAGGAACGGTTGAGGACCACAGGGCTAACAACACTGCAAACCAGGCATGACAGGGCAAATTTCCTCGAAAAACTTTTAATACTGAACAATTTGGAGTATCAGACCTTGTTCATCCGGACAAGGTCAGATATAACACAAACAAGAAGCAACGGTTTCGAGCTCAAGCCATAATGTGGGACTGAGAACAGGAGATGCTTTTTCACTCACAGGATTATTAACCCATGGAACTGCCTACCCGCCGAAGCTGTTAATGCCAAAACTCTCTTGAATTTGAAAATACAGTTTGAAAATATCATCTGGACAAGTGGAGGGACCTTTGACAAGCCGCTGGCTTCCACTTCTCGTCGAGGACACTAGTGTGTTAATGGTGATAAAATTAGAAGGGGGAACTAAAGCGGTGAACAGGAGCTACAGCACTACAACTATATTTGTTTTTACTACGTCTAAAATACGACGTTTTTAAATATCATGAAAATTGGGCTAATAGTTACGAAGTTACAGGAGCAAACTAAGGCGGAGGTCGGGAGCTGAAACCCATTAACTATGTATTTTCCTCTTAATGCGTCTAAAATGCGATTGTTTGAAATCTCTTAAAAATTTAGCTAATAATAACGAAAATTCTATAAACCTCTGGAGTCGGGTTCAAGAACTAAAGTCTAACATTGCCAATCACATTACATACCTCTAATTACCATATTACCCGAAGATGGTGCCAGTTTGACCTCGATTTCGCCCTAAAACGGATGACAGCTTAATTGAGCAAAATATATTTGTGACCGGACCATGAGGACACTGATCCCCTGAACTCAAATACACCTCTCTCTCTCACCCTGTTAATGAAGGTCCTTACCTTGAGCTGCTAGGTTGATGACCCACTTATCAATGGCCTTGACGTTCTCGTTGAGGTTGAGGGCCTGGGCGACGTCCCTGGGAGTCCGGTACTGATCATCCCTGTCCGCTATGGAGCAGCCGCAGTCGGCCACCAGGCGGTAGAAGGCTGACCGCCCGTGTGGCTTCGAGGCAGCGAAGTGGAGAACGCTTTGTCCGTTCTTGTCCTGTAATCCGGATTACGGAGGGAGAAACTAGTATTAGTGTCCACTACCTCTATCTGCAATATACAGCTAGATTTGCTTCTGTCAGGTTTATATAGAGATAAACGCGTTTATATAGAAATTAGTTGGAATTATTTGCAGGAGCAACAACACTGCATTTGGTTATGAAAAGTTCCACCTATTGTTAAGATCACTGAGGGTGGGTCGCCCTAATACTGTCTCACCTGGTTATGTGGTGTGTGGGTGTGGTGAACACCTACCCTGTTCTATGGTGTGGGGTGTGGTCAACACCTACCTTGGTCAGTGGCGTGTAGGGGTTTGGTCAACATCTACCCTGGTTTGTGGTGTGGTCAACACTTACCCTGGTCTGTGGTGTGGGGGTGTAACCAGCTCCTCCTGTACTATCGACAGCTGTCTGAAGAGCGATGCTTGAATCCACTGATCTCTCCGATCCTGAGCTGCTCACTTTTGAGCCATTCTGTAGTCCCAGTCAGTGGGCCCAAGAGCAGGACGGGGCCCGGTAGCAGATGTTTGAGGTCAAGAAATATTTCATACCAATGGGCAAATCACAGGCGGTGTTTCCCAAGGTTGTGGAGGTCGAATCGGTGGTGAAAAATGCACTTAGTTAATAACAATTGGTTATTATTGTATAAGCATCGCGAAAAACGATACAAAACATTGCTATGCACACAGTCATAAGTAATTCACAGTTACCACAATCCTCTTGGATCTGATTGTTTATAAGAGCATTTGTGGATAACTTTGTACAGGCTATTGTTGTTATGTAAACAATGAAGGAACAAGGAAAGGTCTGGCGCAACCACAGGTCTCTTTGTGGGTGGTCAGCGGCACACCCGTTCCCAGGCCCTCAACAACAGATCTGTTGAGATGACCAACAGTAGGTGATGGGAGGGGGACACAACAGATCCAACAGGCCAACAGGGTGTCGAGGGAGGAACAACAGATCCAACAGTGTGTGGAGGGAGGCACAACAGATCCAACAGTGTGTGGAGGGAGGCACAACAGATCCAACAGTGTGTGGAGGGAGGCACAACAGATCCAACAGTGTGTGGAGGGAATATCAAGAGATCCACCAGAAAACTGAAGCATAAGAAATAATCTTTGATAAAGATCCTCAACAAATCTCAACAATGTTTCAGTCACTAACCTTATTTTTATTGCTGTCGTCTTTGCTGTTGTCTTTATTGTGGTACCTGTAGGTGTAGAGACAGCAGGCCAGGTAGGAGATAGGGTCAGGTGGTCTGGCCTCGTTCACCTCAGACAAAGAATTGGTGAGCGCATCGCCCAGTGCTGAAATAAAATGACAATTAATTACCTGCCCGAAACGCTACGCGTACTAGTGGCTGTACAAGAATGTAACAACTTTTGTATATGTAAAAAAGAGGTCAAAAAAGGTCACTCAATGCCGCATAAAGTTTTAGCATATCCTAACAGATATGAACAGAAATGTAAGGCTGAAGTGTGGTAACAGGGTGGGATAATGTAACCATATATACTTTTTAATGGTTAAATTAATAAATGGAGTATCAGTGTATCATAGAGTTTGATGGCTCTAGACTCTATACACTGCCCTATAATCTTTCAGTATTGTAAGGTTAGCACAGGTGAGGCTGCTGGTTCTTGAGGCATCTACCCTGAACCTAACCTCTCCCACTCTTCCTGTTGCTAATTCTAGCTCTTGTCAGTCACTCGGCATCAGATAGATTAACAAAAGGTGAAGCAGATAAGCTGACAGAAGGTTTAGTTTTAAATGGCACATGCCTAAAAAATAGTTAATAAAGCAAATGGAGAAAGCATTGCATATGTCGGTTGTAGCACTGTAAGGGTTAAGCAAGGTTGGTCTCTATCTCTCTCTCTTTCTCTCTATCTCTCTCTCTCTCTATCCTACCTGTCCATTTATCTCTCTCCTATTCAACGCTTTTCCCCTCCTCTGTCCCTTTACCCCACCTATCTTCTCACCGTGTTTCAGGTACTGTCCATCATCAGTCGACATCCCGGGGAAGTTGGACACACCGGCATCTTTGCTGTTTTGCTGCTGCGAGTGTTGACCTTTTTTGTCATCTTTCTGGTCCTTATGGGGGCTTTTACTGGCGTCTGTAGGAAGTTGCCGAGGGCTGGCGAGAGTCACGCTGTGGGCTGTCTTGAGTGGGATGTTCCCCTGGCTGTTTTGGCGAGGGAGTTGACCTTTCTTGACTCCTTTCTGGACTCTGGTGTCTTCGTCGGTGTCCTCGTCTGTAGGTGAGGACGGTGGATTAATTTTACCTTAGTTTTGCTTAATTAAGCCTAGGTTAGGTTACCTTGGATTAAGGACACTTTACCTTTGGTTAAAATAACTTAATTTCAGAGTTTACCTTAGATTAGGTTAGGTTAGATTATGTTGGATTAAGTTAGGTTAGGACAGTGTGCCTTAGTGAAACACTAGTGATTCTCGTATTCATCATGAATCTTTCATTAAAGTGAACAGCGAATGGTTTAATGACTATAAAAAGCCACACTTATAATACAATGCAAGACTTAAGTGAAGATAAGAGTGTATAATACAATACTAGGTTTAAGTGTTTTATGATCATGGAACCCATCCTCCTGCTTAGATAGTAGTTTTTGTAACTATATGCACCATAGTACAAATATTGACGTACCAAGCAATTAGTATAATTTTGCAGTGTTCACTTTATAAGTCCAAAAAACACTTAAATATTCCTAGGCCTAGGATAGCACACATATGTACTATATTAGGCCTCAGATAGTGTGTATTAGGCCTAGGAAGGTTAGGTTAGGTTGTCATTGCAACATATATACAAAACTTTTTCTGGTTTGTCCAAATTCAGTACTATAGATTTCTACTTTCTAGTTAGGTTGTACGTCGGTATATGTACTATGCTCCTCGTTACTATAAGAACTACCATAACAGGAGGCTGGGTTAGATTATAGAGTTCAAGCAGTGAAAGAACACAGCAGAACAGGCCAGACCCTGGTAGTAGAACACATGCACGTGAAGAACCTCACAACTTCTTAAACCATCTAAATTAAACTTAATAGCCTGCGATTAAATTTATTTATGATTATTCCTTTGTGATTTTAAAGAACCAGTCGAAGCTCATTCCCATATATTAGCATATGTGTGTAGTTAATTAGGGTCACTACTGGTGACCTTACTAACTCGTGTTTTCCTTATGCTAATACTTTTTTTAAATGTTGGTTATTTAACGTTTTAAACTGAATAACAAATCAACTATATATTATTAAATTGTTTATTATTTCATAATTTTCAAATATGTAAATCTGAAAATATAGCCATTGAAGAATATTACCAAATTTAGTTATGTCATTTAGGAGAGTTAATGATGAGTGTTATGTTAAACATAAATGAATTTGTCAAAATAGACCTTCACCGTGTTATTTATTAAAATTAATAAATTAATTAAATTAGAGATAGAGCATTAAAAGACAAGCTCAAATTATCTAACGTGATTTAAAACAAAATAAAAACTCAGAATTATGTGTTTAATAGTGACTGTACTTCCCTTGTAAATAACTACTTAATTAGTATGTATTACTTAACAGGTATTCATACTAATACATGCTGAACTAATGTACAGCTTTATGTTTTGAAAATAATGATTTTTTCAATTATGATTTAAAATATAAGACAAATTAATACAATATATAATATTTATAAAATGCATATATAGTCCTGAATTTTTATTTACAGAAAATAATTTTATATATGATTTTGTTCTCTGGAATTCAAATTTACATATATTTACTGCTTAATGTAACATTAGTATTCTATTTACGAGAGTAAATAAATGTTACTAGAGGGTTAAAAGAAAATGTTTTTTTAATAAATTCTTCACGTATATTATAGCAAAATGATACCGCAAGAGCCCAAATTTTCCACATTTGCCACATATTGTAAGCATAATAGCAAGGCTTTCTCCTTCTAATTTTCGGTGTTTATAGACAGAATTAAATTCATTGCACGTTTACTAGAGGAATCACTCATTGATGTAAGTAGCACTGTGACACTTCTGAAATTTGTCACGTGACATGTGGCGCAGCCAAGGGGTTAAGTGTTTGTGAGCAGGGAGAACATGCGATACGAGTTTTGGGGGACACAGTTTCACGGGACTCCTTAACATTCATTAATTTCGCAAGATCAATTGTACTGTTCAGGCCCAGCTGGCGATTCTCATACAGTTAATAGCACCGGAATACGCACCCCCTTAATTTAGCCCCTTGTTTGTAGCAGCTTTTATGTAGCACAACTTCATGTAACCTCCTCCCCTCTATGTAACCCCCCCCCCTTCATGAAGCCTCCTTTCACGCACAACTATTTCATGAAGCTCCCTGTATCTTGAGTTATCTTGAGATGATTTCGGGGCTTTAGTGTCCCCGCGGCCCGGTCCTCGACCAGGCCTCCACCCCCAGGAAGCAGCCCGTGACAGCTGACTAACACCCAGGTACCTATTTTACTGCTAGGTAACAGGGGCATAGGGTGAAAGAAACTCTGCCCATTGTTTCTCGCCGGCGCCTGAGATCGAACCCAGGACCACAGGATCACAAGTCCAGCGTGCTGTCCGCTCGGCCGACCGGCTCCCTTTCTGTCCATCAGAAAGTTCTGTTCTTCCCCTTCCTGTCCATCATCAGTCGATATCCGGGGGAATATATGTACATATATGTACATATATGTACATATATCCGGGGGAATATATGTACATATATTCTCTTGCTACACTATCCACAGTCCTTAGTATTTAAGTCCTCCGTGAGTCTTACTACACCAACCCCAGTCTTACGTGGACAATAGAACAAATTCCACATATATTGACGCAGAGGTTTCAAGCTCTCAGTTATCTCTCACAATCTTCCATCTCCATTGTCATTCCATTAATTAATTATACGCACTTTAAACTGCTGTCTATGATATGTTGATCATGACTCGTCCAAGGATTTACCCAACTACAGTTCGAAACCTCTATATCTTTTTATAATCACAAGGAATTTGTTCGCATTTATTAAATAGTTTACTAAGTTGGAAACTCAACAACCCGAGGGTTCATATGAACAACCTCGTAGTATTACGGAGCTCAAAAAGTGTTAACAAAAAAATTTTTTTTTATATGCTAAATATTCTAAATTGTAAATTTAAAAAAAGCCGCTATGATTAAGGAATGATGTACAGGTTTCGTAGGTGGTTGTGTAAATGCTTAATTAATCCTGGCATGTTATTAAATATTCAGGTTTTCATACAACAGGTGTCTTCTGTATACATCAAGATGTATGCACTTTAGGTGTCACATGTATACAGCTGTATGCCATCTGCGTACAAATGTGTCTTCTTCTGTAAGCGGTATGTGTCATCTGTATATAGGAGTTGTCATTTATATGCACTGGTCTCACATGTATGCAACAGGTGTCGTTTGTATGTATCACGTGTCATCACTATACATCATGTGTCATCACAAACCAGGTTCATACTAATACACACCATCCATTCATACTAATATACATCCTCCGTTCATACTAATACACGGTGCCAAACCACTTGGGCTGGACAGTAGAGCGGCGGTCTCGCTTTATGCAGATCGGCGTTCAATCCCCAATAGTCCAAGTAGTTGGGCACCATTCCTTCCCCCCGTCCCATCCCAAATCCTTATCCTGATCCCTTCCAAGTGCTATATAGTCGTCATGGCTTAGTGCTTTCCCTGATAGTTCCCTCCCCTCATACTAATACTCACCATCAGTTCATACTAATACTCTCCCTCATATAATGAAAATAATGATAGTGATCCAAATATTTATAACTTAATAAATAAATAAAAAATATTAATATTACATGCGAAAATTTAATTTTGTGGGAACTGTCATGGCGTCCCTCAGAAATATTAATATATTATTACAGAATAAATGAGAAGCCAAAGAACTTAGGGGTAAACTAGTGTATAAATAAAGAGAACTGGAGCCTGATCATGCCACATACAACATCGTGCACCACACTGAGACTTGACTTACTTGTTCAGGGATATATATAGTCCTTCAAGATCTGGGCCCCTTAGTAAGCCTTTTGTCCTCCTGGATGACCGGAAATGAGGCCCCTCAATGAGCGTTTTGATCTGCTGCTTCCAAACTTTAATGTGTGTTATTTTTGTTTTGATATATAATTCTTAAATTTGTACAGATAATTTCATTTCTTTTGAACGCTGTATATCTTTTTTTACTAATCTCGGTACTTTTATTTTTATATATGAATGTCCATGGTGCAGTTTCAAACTTGTTTAAACTCGTTTTAAAACGATTTTTTTGTATATTTAAATATTATATTTTGAACTATGACTTTTGTGAGTTTGTATGTACAGTATGTATCTAGGTGGATGTCTGTAAGTATGCGATGGATGGGTCGTGCTTCAGTTCTTGGGTTCGACTTCTCGGTCCTAAACTCACTGTTTGCAGTTAGTCAATAATAACTTGACAGTGTGTGTGTGTGACACAAGTTCAAACATTAAATTAGAGAAAATAATACAGCTGGATTTCTTAGTTTCCCCAATTATATTTTGAGGTATGTTCTAAGTAATTTAGGAGACTCTGAAGCAGACATAATATATCCTGACAGGCGTATACTCATTGAGTGTATTGTTGGAACCTTCATCCTAATCTAAAAGTATTACACTAGCCTCGCCAGTGTCTTGTTGTATATGCATAGCTGAGTATATCAATATTCCTGTGATTATATATATATATATATATATATATATATATATATATATATATATATATATATATATATATATATATATATATATATATATATATATATGTCGTACCTAGTAGCCAGAACGCATTTCTCAGCCTACTATGCAAGGCCCGATTTGCCTAATAAGCCAAGTTTTCATGAATTAATTGTTTTTCGACTACCTAACCTACCTAACCTAACCTAACCTAACTTTTTCGGCTACCTAACCTAACCTAACCTATAAAGATAGGTTAGGTTAGGTTAGGTAGGGTTGGTTAGGTTCGGTCATATATCTACGTTAATTTTAACTCCAATAAAAAAAATTGACCTCATACATAATGGAATGGGTATCTTTATCATTTCATAAGAAAAAAAATTGAGAAAATATAATAATTCAGGAAAACTTGGCTTATTAGGCAAATCGGGCCTTGCATAGTAGGCTGAGAAGTGCGTTCTGGCTACTAGGTACGACATATATATATATATATATATATATATATATATATATATATATATATATATATATATATATATATATATATATATATATATATATATATATATATATATATATATATATATGCGAACAAGCCTGAATGGTCCCCAGGACAATATGCAACTGAAAACTCACACCCCAGAAGTGACTCGAACCCATACTCCCAGAAGCAACGCAACTGGTATGTACAAGACGCCTTAATCCACTTGACCATCACGACCGGACAAAATGAGGTGATAGCCGAGGCTATTTGAACCACCCCACCGCCGGCACTCGGATAATCGGCACTATCCGAGTGCCGGCGGTGGGGTGGTTCAAATAGCCTCGGCTATCACCTCATTTTGTCCGGTCGTGATGGTCAAGTGGATTAAGGCGTCTTGTACATACCAGTTGCGTTGCTTCTGGGAGTATGCGTTCGAGTCACTTCTGGGGTGTGAGTTTTCTAGTTATATATATATATATATATATATATATATATATATATATATATATATATATATATATATATAATATGAGTGTGCGTGATGCGTATATATATTTTTTCAAGAAATGTGCATCATAAAGTCATACAATATTAACTATTGAATTATCTATGTGATTAATAGCCATGTTATTTTGTAACATTCATTAATCAAAAATGTTTGTTGTGACTAATAATAATGCTGCAAAAACGAGTAAAATATCAGTATTGGAAGATCTTATTGATACCTTAGTAAACTTATTATATTAGCTCAATTTTAATAATAATTACAATGTATTTGAAAATATATAATATTGGTTAAATCTTAGTTTGAGTTATAATTTATAATAGCTGTTTTATCAAGTTCAGCACCTTGATAAACCCCAAAAATGTCTATCTAATTTGCTTGTTAGTGGCATGACCAGGAAACTGAATAAAAAATCTGTTATAATTAAGTTTTAATTAAGCTTTTTCATTAAAATATAATAAGGTTACAGTCTTAAAATAATGACAATAATGTAAATAAAATTTATATGACAAGAAAATATGAATTATACATTGAATAGAAAGCATTTATCTCATGTATGTCATCAGTACAGTATTATGTAACCTCAACTAAGCTGCACATATATAAAAATATACTAATAAAAAATATAGAGCATCAAATTGTCATAGGACGGTTTTCCACGAAGTTGTATAGGTGATATTCTCTCATTTACGCAACTCGATATAATTGATTGTGTGTTGGACTTAAGGTCCAGCAACATCTGGAGGATTATTAAGGCAGCACAATACTGTAGCTTACTGCATCCTGCTCTCGCACAAGACAGCTCATATATGACTTATTGCTTATAGTCACTATTTTGCTTATAAATAAGTATACATGTGACATATTCCAAGCTTTATTTTTTTTTCAAGGCACTAACTTCTTCTCTCAGTTTTATTAAGCAATAAAGATTTTATGCAAAATTTTACAATATCCTGAGTTACTTTACAATTTATTTCAATATTTTGATTTTGTTTTATTATTGTTATAAAACTGTAATATCAATATCGGTATAGGTTCAGTACTAATTGTAATATCTTAACATACTAAGAAGGTTAGGTTAGGTTGTGGTTTTCTATTTGGTTTTTCAAGGTAAACTCAAATATTCACAATAAATTAGTATGTCACATATGCACTTATTCATAAGCAAGATATTGACTATAAGCAAGTGCGAGAACGGGTTGCTTACTGACCAGCCAGGAAGTATACTTTAGTCCCGCGTCTAATTGTCCTGGACTAAAGTATACTAGGTATATACTCTGAGAAGTGGGGGTAAGTCTCTCGGGGCATATATATTCTTTGAGATATAATTCTATATTGATAGCACTTACAAATAATGTCTTTGAAGTCACGTACAAATAAAAAAAATTCTTATGTACAAACAGTTATATGTAATTATTGAACATTCATATCATGAAGAAAATATAAATCTTCTATACGTATGAAATTGCAATATATATCTTTTGATTGTTAGGTTAATGTTAGCTATATTTTTAGCAATGCCTGATTTTTTTATATAAATTTTGAAGTATATTTTGTTTATATATAGAACACTGTGAAAATTAATACTACTACTATGAATATTATGCAATTATATAGATATACATATATGAAGATGTTTGCCTCTCCAAAGCGCTTGAGGCTAGCCTTATGAACCTTTGCAGGGTTACTGGTGGTTGTATGGGAACTATCATAAGCCCCCCTTATGATAGTCCGGGTTGGCCCCCTACTTAAAGTGGGGGTTGACCCATGCCATTCCTTCATGAAGTCAGTGGAGATAAAATGTTCGGCGCCGAGTCCAAAGATTTTAATCATTTGTGCATATATTACTGTATTCAGATATTGATATGCAAAATGCCTATTCTGATGACAGATTTACATTATGCAACATTTTGGCTAAAATGATGTTGTGTAGTGAAGATGGTTACAATGATGGTCGTGTATTGTGAAAATGATTACAATGATGGTCGTGTATTGTGAAAATGGTTACAATGATGGTCGTGTATTGTGAAAATGGTTACAATGATGGTCGTGTATTGTGAAAATGGTTAAAATGATCATAGTTGAGTGTAGTGAAGATGCTTACAGTGATGAAAACTATTTAATGAAGATGGGGTAGAGTGATGAAAGATGTGTGCAGTAAAGATTGTTATGATAACGAAAACTATTTAGTGAAGATGGCTAGAGTGATGAAGGCTGTGTGCAGTGTAGGTGTGTGTGTGTGTGTAAGTATGCGTAACTTCTATTGATAAGATAGCATTATCTTCATTCCAGTCAAAGTGAATTGTTTTTGTGTGAGCTGTGTTGTGACTTTACATATAAAATTATCTTATAACATATATATTTACATATAAAATTATCTCAGACATGTATTGCTACTCCTCCCAACCCGCTCCCCTTCCCCCTTTCGGCTAAATAGTTATTTAGTGTACTCACCTAGTTGTACTCACCTAGTTGTGCTTGCGGGGGTTGAGCTCTGGCTCTTTGGTCCCGCCTCTCAACCGTCAATCAACAGGTGTACAGATTCCTGAGCCTATCGGGCTCTGTCATATCTACACTTGAAACTGTGTATGGAGTCAGCCTCCACCACATCACTTCCTAGTGCATTCCATTTGTCAACCATTCTGACACTAAAAAAGTTCTTTCTAATATCTCTGTGGCTCATTTGGGCACTCAGTTTCCACCTGTGTCCCCTTGTGCGTGTTCCCCTTGTGTTAAATAGACTGTCTTTATCTACCCTATCAATCCCCTTCAGAATCTTGAATGTGGTGATCATGTCCCCCCTAACTCTTCTGTCTTCCAGAACAGAAGTGTGGAACAATCTGTGTGCTTTAATTTGGAATTTCGATAAATCCTTGTTTAATACAATTGCAAATGTTTACATTTTTGCAATAATATGTATTGTTTCCTTTTACACAAGGACATTTTATTTGTAATCCTCATGTATGATGTTACGTTATTCTTATGCCCCTTTTGGTTTCTATTATCTTAAATGTCCCTTAAGTTTTTTTTTACCTTTGTCCCGACATTTTTCTTCTACTTTCTTAGCCTCTTTATCTTGTTTAGAAATGTCTTCTTTGTCAGTGCGTACTGAGGTCACCATCCAACCCGACCTCCTAATACAATGTCGCCTTTTGCGTATTTTTTACTTAAGGACAAACATTGTCGTACTAGAAAATGGTAGCGGCTTGCGAAATTGATATACTGTCCCGTTTTCTGTTCTGGGTCCTCTGGTAGGTTAGGATAAGGGCACTTTAGTAAGACAGTTTCTTGACATTGGGAAACCTTAGGAGGACGGGCTGTACCATGTACCATCATTTAGGGGCCTCGTAGCCTGGTGGATAGCGCGCAGGACTCGTAATTCTGTGGAGCGGGTTCGATTCCCGCATGAGGCAGAAACAAATGGGCAAAGTTTCTTTCACCCTGAATGCCCCTGTTACCTAGCAGTAAATAGGTACCTGGGAGTTAGTCAGCTGTCACGGGCTGCTTCCTGGGGGTGGAGGCCTGGTCGAGGACCGGGCCGCGGGGACACTAAAGCCCCGAAATCATCTCAAGATAACCTCAAGATAACCATCATCTAGCACATGAACCCGGAGAAATGTCTCCCACTACTGAAGGGACGACGACGTTTCGGTCCGTCCTGAGCCATTCTCAAGTCGATTGTGAGAATGGTCCAGGACGGCACAATAGACTTGAGAATGGTCTAGGACGGACCGAAACGTCGTCGTCCCTTCACTTTCTAGTGTGTGGTCTGGTCAACCCTTGATATTCATTCATTGCCAACTCTTCTAGGCAAAATACTACATGTAACTGGAATCCTTTCCTTGGGCCGCTTTTATTGCATGGTTTCCTTGACTCCTACATTCTCTTGTGTCAATCTCTCTATGTGAGGAAACATAACAGGTTTGTTCCCATTACCTCTCAAGACATTGATCATCCTCTCCTCTACATCATGCACCCCAGGCAAGGGCGGATTACCAGATAGGGTAAGTAAGGTTGGCCTGGGGACCACCAGTACCTTTTTTGGACCATAAAAATAGAAAAGTTTAAAATGCTTGGATTTCTCTGTAAAACTAAGCATAATGTAACAATTAATCATTAGATATAATTATGGTTTGGTCTGGTAATTAGATATAATTATGGTTTGGTCTGGTAATTAGATATAATTATGGTCTGGGAAACTAGATTTATTCCTCCAAGGAGTGCCGGACCAACCGGGCTGTGGTGGGTATGTGGGCCTGCGGGCCGCTCCAAGCAACAGCCTGGTGGACCAAACTCTCACAAGTCGAGCCTGGCCTCGGGCCGGGCTTGGGGAGTAGAAGAACTCCCAGAACCCCATCAACCAGGTATCAACCAGGTATGGCATGGACTGTCTACATGTATGTGTTTAGGAATTGAATAGCTATTCTGTCCTAAAGCCTAAGGTTCAAAAACAATTGGATCCGGCCCTGATCCCAGTGAAACACACCAACATGCTATTTTCCCAGTCCTGGTGACAAAATGCCCAGCCCATACACCTAACTAGAGTGCCCGACTATCAAAATGATCTTACCTTCAGGAGTTCCTCGTCAAACACTGGCCTTTGTGGGTTTTACTCCGGTCCTTGTCCACGCAACATTCGTCTTGGAGGGCAGCGAAGGAAGTTTCTTTGTTTTTTACTCTCAAGTGCCTCATATTGCTTGTTACTTTTGGTGTGTCTTAATTTGGGTATTTTTTTTATTTTTCATCCTGTAGACGGTTCACTTCATCTGTTGCCTTCTCTTTTCCTTGTAGGAAGTTTTGGAGTTTGACATTCTACCTCTTGAGAAGATACATCTGAGTCTTCATCTAATCTAGTCTCTATGAATTTGGTTTTAATATTACCTTGTGGTTACCTTGAGGGATTTCAGAGGATCAACGTCTCCGCGGTCCGGTAGCTGACAGTGAAATTCTTTAAATAAAAAAAATACTTTCAAAATATTTTTAGTATATATATTTAATATTTCGTTTCCATTGGAAATTGTACCACACTCAGGAAAGTTATATTTGAGAGACAATTACAGAGGCTGTGCTAACCTGTATAGAACTTTTTACAAATATTATATATATATATATGACAATGTCAGACCACGGAGGAAAAATGAAACAGGAATTTCCTTAAGTACTTTCGTATATTAAATACATCTTCAGAAGGTCATCTTCAGAAGGTTTGGACCTTCTGAAGATGTATTTAATATACGAAAGTACTTAAGGAAATTCCTGTTTCATTTTTCCTCCGTGGTCTGACATTGTCACATTCTTAATCACGTGTTTATTTTCGTGATATACACACATATTTATATATATATATATATATATATATATATATATATATATATATATATATATATATATATATATATATATATATATATATATGTCGTACCTAGTAGCCAGAATGCACTTCTCAGCCTACTATGCAAGGCCCGATTTGCCTAATAAGCCAAGTTTTCATGAATTAATGTTTTTTCGACTACCTAACCTACCTAACCTAACCTAACCTAATTTTTTCGGCTACCTAACCTAACCTAACCTATAAAGATAGGTTAGGTTAGGTTAGGTTAGGTAGGGTTGGTTAGGTTCGGTAATATATCTACGTTAATTTTAACTCCAATAAAAAAAAATTGACCTCATACATAATGAAATGGGTAGCTTTATCATTTCATAAGAGAAAAATTAGAGAAAATATTTTATTTCAGGAAAACTTGGCTTATTAGGCAAATCGGGCCTTGCATAGTAGGCTGAGAAGTGCATTCTGGCTACTAGGTACGACATATATATATATATATATATATATATATATATATATATATATATATATATATATATATATATATATATATATATATATATATATATATATATATATATATATATATATATATATATATATATATATATATATATATATATATACATATATATATATATATATATATATATATATATATATATATATATATATATATATATATATATATATATATATACCACCATGAGGCTGGTAACACTGTAAATAACTAGGCTGTCGTGAAACTTACATAATGACCATAACTAATGTACCTGTGAGCTGCATTGTGTGTATATAAATTGTCGTTTCACTGGTAATTGCAGAAATATTAAAGTCGCCCCAGTCTATTTCTACCACCTTGTGTAATAATTATTAAAACAGAAAATGTGTGTTAAGTGCCACTTTTATGATTGTTTTGTCAGTTATAGGGATATTATTTACTTAAAAAGTATATATGTATTTTGTGTTCATCAGTTGGCCAGCGTAAGTACTAGTACCGTGAATGGTTTAATTACCGGCCCATCACGTGGAGGGGAGACATCTGTATTGTGTGGTACAACAAAAAGAAAATTATGACAGGTGCAATTCCTCTGTATTTAGTGATTTGTGGGATATCTTAGTGCAGTTGCCACTGAAACATGAAGGATAAGCTGAACACTTGCTGAACTCTCAATTCGTGGTATTGTAAAGTGAGATACTGCACACCTGAAACTTACCTCGTCATGGCGTAGAAAATGAGTCTGCCAAAAAAATCTAATTTTTTACCATATAATTCTCTCAAGAGCTAGTCCTGTTCCAGGGAATCTAGTTTTTGCTACGGTACAGTTTAATCGAGCTAAGACATGTCACTAATTTGCAGTGATAACTATAAAGTAAATAGTTTATATATATATATATATATATATATATATATATATATATATATATGTCGTACCTAGTAGCCAGAACTCACTTCTCGGCCTACTACGCAAGGCCCAATTTGCCTAATAAGCCAAGTTTTCCTGAATTAATATATTTTCTCTATTTATTTTCTTATGAAATGATAAAGCTACCCATTTCATTATGTATGAAGTCAATTTTTTTTTATTGGAGTTAAAATTAATGTAGATATATGACCGAACCTAACCAACCCTACCTAACCTAACCTAACCTATCTTTATAGGTTTCACCTGCCCTGAGTCAGGTGTTGCTGCGAATATATTTTTTTACATTTTCCAAAGTTTCTGATTAGTTTCAGTTTTTTTTTTAATATTGAATATATAAGATTTAGTTCATATATCTAATGTTTAATGAAAAAACCATGGTTTTCTGGTAGGGTTGGTAAGGTTGGTTAGGTTTGGTCACATATCTACGTTAATTTTAACTCCAATATAAAAAATTGACTTCATACATAATGAAATGGGAAGCTTTATCATTTCATAAGAAAAAAATTAGAGAAAATATATTAATTTAGGAAAACTTGGCTTATTAGGCAAATCGGGCCTTGCATAGTAGGCTGAGAAGTGCGTTCTGGCTACTAGGTACGACATACATATATATATATATATATATTCATTCACTTCCATGAACTCACAAGTAATTTTAATGAACAGAACACTTCCCCATATGAGAGAATCGAACCATGGGCCAGCAGGTACCTGGCCAGAGCATTAACCACTAGGCTACCCTCAGATCGTTAAAAGGGCGGAAATTTGGATGGGCTTTCCACCACGAAATCTCCCTCCCGCCAACGACACCAGAGGAATAGCTTCTGATCAAACACTCATTTTCTATCAATCATATTTACTAGGGAAAACTCGTGTCTTGAGTATATCATTCACTTGCATGAACTCGCAAGCAATTATATATGTCGTACCTAGTAGCCAGAACGCACTTCTCAGCCTACTATGCAAGGCCCGATTTGCCTAATAAGCCAAGTTTTCATGAATTAATGTTTTTTCGACTACCTAACCTAACCTAACCTAACTTTTTAGGCTACCTAGCCTAACCTAACCTATAAAGATAGGTTAGGTTAGGTTAGGTAGGGTTGGTTAGGTTCGGTCATATATCTACGTTAATTTTAACTCCAATTAAAAAAATTTTACCTCATACATAATGAAATGGGTAGCTTTATCATTTCATAAGAAAAAAATTAGAGAAAATATATTAATTTAGGAAAACTTGGCTTATTAGGCAAATCGGGCCTTGCATTGTAGGCCGAGAAGTGCATTCTGGCTATTAGGTACGACATATATATATATATATATATATATATATATATATATATATATATATATATATATATATATATATAAAGACTTAAATGATATTTGGATTTGTGACTCTAGATGAACACTGCTAATATATGGTTATGTTATTTGGAATGAAAAATATTTGCACTTTCTTTTCAGAACCTAAAACACCAGACAATTTAGAGCCTAGGAGTAGTGATAGGTCAGGGGCTTAGTGTTCTATACTATTAACAGGGATTAATATATACTGGTCTACAACAAAAATTATATGAAAAATTATACCACTGGACTGACTGTAAAACCATCAAAGTTCAATTTGGTCTCACATAAGTTACTTTCCTTAGTTATGTGACTCTAGATAACATAAATCTATTATGAGATTGCTTGGTAGGGTATGATATTACAATAGAATCATCCCAAGTTTATCTGAAGTTGTTGCTTGAAGAATGAGGTTCAGTAAGCCACATGAAGTATTTTTTTTTACCAAGACACAACGTCTGCAGACCAGTACATTTTGTTTAACGATTCACAACAACTGGAGGGTTATTAAGTCCAACACAATAACTTACCGACCAATCAGCAAGCATACTTTAACGCTGAACATAGTCCAGGACTAAAATTATATCTCAATAATTTTACACCAAATGTGGTACATTCACTAAGATTGTATAATTTATATATTATATAATCTTAGAAAAAACACAGAAACACTCTGTCCTAAATGTGAGAGAGATGGTGGTGTTGGGGCAGTGTTGGTGCAAGAAAGGACACACAGGTGTACAGCCAATGTCCTCTGTCACTTCAAAGCTCAACCGATGCAACTTGCATGATCCCACCATAGAGAAGATTCCTTGTTGGCCTCTAAACAAATTTAATGTGTATTTTCAATGGCTTGTGTCACTAAATAGTCGCATTAGGATTTCTGCATAAAATGGTAAACTATTGTTTTATATTGATTGAACCTTGGCAGTGCAGCTATATATGACTATAGAACACACAATAGGTACTCAAAATCTGATTATTGATGCAGTGGTGGACTAACATTTTTGTGACTGAAGCTTGACCCGTTATGGGGGGCCACTTCGCAACCAGCAAAGGAACCCCTATTATTTTGTATTACACTATATTATTATTATTTAAAACGCTCCTCTTATACAGTAAGCCAAGTATTTTTCAGCAATGTGGGCTTAAGTCTCCTCTGGGGCCCTCTGGGATTAGGGATCCATTAAGCTTCATCAATATCATTGTAGATTCGCCCCTGAAGATATTATACCCAAACCAGGCATTAGAAACGGAAGAAAGGACCACGTCTCTGTTCATCATGGGTCATTATCAAGTCGTAAAATGGAACGCGATTGGGAGAAGAACAATATGAGGGAAGAAAGTTAGATGAAAGGTTCGATGAATGAAAGAAAAATATGAAAATAAAATGATGAAAAGTGAGGAAAACGAATGAAAGAAAACGGATTATATTACACTACTTGATAATTGTCAAGGACAGACTAAAACGTCGTCGCCTCTTCATTTTCTGATGCCTAGTTTTGGATATATATATATATGTCGTACCTAATAGCCTGAACGCACTTCTCGGCCTACTATCCAAGGCCCGATTTGCCTAATAAGCCAAGTTTTCCTGAATTAATATATTTTCTCTAACTTTTTTCTTATGAAATGATAAAGCTACCCATTACATTACGAATGAGGTCATTTTTTTTTTATTGGAGTTAAATTTAACGTAGATATATGACCGAACCTAACCAACCCTACCTAACCTAACCTAACCTATCTTTATAGGTTAGGTTAGGTTAGGTAGCCGAAAATGTTAGGTTAGGTTAGGTTAGGTAGGTTAGGTAGACGAAAAACAATTAATTCATGAAAACTTGGCTTATTAGGCAAATCGGGCCTTGCATAGTAGGCATAGAAGTGAGTTCTGGCTACTAGGTACGACATATATATATATATATATATATATATATATATATATATATATATATATATATATATATATATATATATATATATATATATATATATATATATATATATATATATATATATATACTTTCTAAGCGTCTCACTTTAGTCTCATAATTTTCTTTAGAAACTTGCAACGTATGTATGTCGGTGACCTGTCTCTGTAGTTTAGCAGCTGCCTGGCAGTTCTTCCCCCTATGAACTGATGGCTTAAAGTCGAATGAAAGGATGTGTATGGCGCCTCTGCAGCTTTCTCAAGTACCCACGAAGGTAGGGATGTATGGGGCTGGTTGATGGTTGGTTTAGTTAAGGGAGGATCTAGAGTTGGTGCACCGGTTAAATCTTCCATGTCATCCAAGATTGTTGTTTGTAGCCATCTGGCTTATCTTGGTTTACATCATCTGGCTTATCTTGGTTTACATCATCTGGCTTATCTTGGTTTACACGATGAGTCACTTGTACCCGCCCTAATGTGAGCATTGGTTGAGGCTGCTGTGTGTTCTGGCCTCCCAGCTCCTACTTTCTTACCACTAATTCTCCTTTACCTTAATTAACCCCCTTCGATTTTTACCCTACCTCCCTCTTGTCTACATTACTCTACCTCTTTATCCATGTCATTTCGAAGGAAAAGTCCAAAGTTAGCAAGATCACCGTGAGAGCTCACTCGCATCACATGCAAATCTTTGTTGCTTTCTCATTTATTACGTCTGTTTCAGTGGACTTTCATGATGTATGTTCCTGTGTTGTGGAATACAACCCTAGTCTCTACACCTCCACCAATACCAAGCAATTCAGATTCTCCTGTAGGCCTAGTACTCCCAGAAACTTCATGGTTTGTTTCTTTGCATGTATATTATATATATATATATATATATATATATATATATATATATATATATATATATATATATATATATATATATATATATATATATATATATATTTATATATATATTTATATATAAAGCTTTACAAAACTATATTAGCTTATATTGACAAAGCAATAGAGGAAAAAGCGGAGTTCGGTGCTGACCGACAGGACTTGACATTAAGAGGATTCTATCCATATATCAAATATTTAAAGTGGAGTAAATAGTCGACCTTTATCTCAGCCCATGTTGAGGGTGGCCTTATGACATCAGCTGGACGGAATGGGGCATTAACTGTCCAAACTGACAGGTGGAGTAGAGTTCTGACTGGCGGACAGATGCGACTGGTGTAGAGTTCTGGTGTACATATGCGACTGGTGTAGAGTTCTGGTGTACATATGCGACTGGTGTAGAGTTCTGGTGTACATATGTGACTGGTGTAGAGTTCTGGTGTACATATGTGACTGGTGTAGAGTTCTGGTGTACATATGCGACTGGTGTAAAGTTCTGGTGTACATATGTGACTGGTGTAGAGTTTTGACGGATTTATGAGTGAATATTGAACCATATATGAGCGAGAATAGTCATTTATGAGCGAGAATAGTCATTTATGAGTGAGAATAGTGCCATTTATGAGTGAATACGAACATTTAAAGGTGAGAGTAGGGATAACTGAGTGAGACATTTATGAGTGTACATAGAAATGTTTATGGATGAGAGAAAACACATTTATGAGTTGTGAGTCATTTCAGAGTGGAGAAACATTTTTGAACATTGAATTATTTATGGTTAGATTTGTATGACTTCGTACTGGGGATGTTTAGAGATCTCGGGGGCTGTCTGTGAACGTGTTCATGTTTTCTGGACCGAAAAGGTGGCGCGCTCTGAGGCCTATGCTGAACGCTCTGAGGCCTATGCTGAACGCTGTGTGTTCTGTACTGACGACAATCACCGCACAAAACCCTCAAAGGCCTAACACATCTCTATAATAACTTTAATAAGTTAAAAGAGGAAATTAAAACATATGCAAATTGATTTATCTAAATGTATACTTATATCTAAGTATTTCTATATTCACCTACACACAATTTTATATATATATATATATATATATATATATATATATATATATATATATATATATATATATATATATATATATATATATATATATATATATATATATATATATGCAACCCGTTCTCGCAAATTCGTAAAGTCAATATTGACTTATTAAATTTGCGAGAAAGGGTTGTATATATACAGGAGGTTCTACAGCTGGCATTATAAATATCTTTGGACAACTGGAGCTGAAGATTCTCGTATACAATCATTCAATAATTACTAACTACAATTCTCCATACGTTTAAGATGGCAATCTCATTTTGTTTGGACATGACCATCTCTCAACAAACACAAACACTGAGGAGTGTTTTGTAGCTTACAGGGACACTTATGTTGGTCCGGTAAGGACATTGACATTGTTAGACCGAAAATATGATATATATATTTGTTTAGTTTCAGCTTGTCTCTACTGATTGTTCCACGGCGAGGCATGGAGGTAGAGTTTTTGTTCCCTGGCGAGGCATGGAGGTGGAGTTTTTGTTCCCTGGCGAGGCATGGAGGTGGAGTTTTTGTTCCCTGGCGAGGCATGGAGGTGGAGTTTTTGTTCCCTGGCGAGGCACGGAGGTGGAGTTTTTGTTCCCAGGCGAGGCATGGAGGTGGAACTATTGTTTCCAGTTGAGAAACGGAGATGGAGCTAGCCGGCATTTGACTAACAAAGCTAGCTACGAAAGTAACCCATTCAAGCTGCAGTTGTTATTATAGTAAAAGTTAGGAGTTTAAACATCTTTTTGACACAGGTGCAAGTTCAAACAATATTTTTGCAATGGAGAAAGTGAGAGTACCGTAGTGTGGAGGCGATTGCTGTCTGATGAACCACTGACACCATCCTCCTCCCATCACTAGTGTTGACGACTGGCCGGCGAGGGTTATCTTGAGGTTATCTTGAGATGATTTCGGGGCTTTTTTTTAGTGTGTCCGCGGCCCGGTCCTCGACCAGGTCTCCACCCCCAGGAAGCAGCCCGTGACAGCTGACTAACACCCAGGTACCTATTTTACTGCTAGGTAACAGGGGCATAGGGTGAAAGAAACTCTGCCCATTGTTTCTCGCCGGCGCCTGGGATCGAACCCAGGACCACAGGATCACAAGTCCCGCGTGCTGTCCGCTCGGCCGACCAGCTCGGTGGTGGCAGTCTGATGATTACTGAAATTCTATTGATATTCCATCACTGGATTGCCCGCAGGTGGAGTGGAGGGTGACGGCTGGGGGACAAGGGATGAAGGACTCTGATCAATCGTCAGAGTTGCTCTCCAGTTCATGTTCCAGCTGGATGATCTCCATCACACCATCGTACATCTCTTTTAATGCTTCGATCTCCGTCAAGCCGAGACGGCGCCGGTTTGATATATCGAAGGTGAAGTCTTTGGTCTCCGAGTGTTCACCGGAGGTGCCGCGGACCTGCAGATTGTATTGGTTGGCAGTGTGTTCCAGGCGCTGTATGTCGCTCCCTAGGTGAGGCAACCGGATGTGGACAGAGGCACGAATTGCTGAACCCAAGTTTGTCGGACAGAAGTTGAGGAACCCTAGACGCTGAGAGAAGCTGAAGGGAAGGCGGTCTCCAAGAGCTGTGACCGCTCTCACGAAGCGGTCATATACCTGACCCAGGTCTCCGCCTTCCTGCATGGAGATGATGCGCATGTGGTCCTCCTCGTTGACCCAAACGACCAACGTCCTGTCAGAGTTGAGGAAGATGCCTCTTCCGTTCGGCCAGAGGCGGCAAGCTCCAGCAGCTTCCAGAAAGCGGTCACCTTGCTTGAAGAGCAGATGAGCTTCTAGAAGCTCGTTCTGTTCGCTCTCGGATAGTTTGCTCAGCGGCCTATAATAGCCAGCGAGGTCCTCATCCAGGGTGTCCAGGGCCGCCTCCACGTCAGCCTCCAGGGACGTGTACTGGTCGTTGTTGAGAAGTGGGTTGAAGGGATAGCCCTCCAGGGAGCGTGCACAACGCACGCGCGTCGACACAACGTAGTTACGATGCTCGTTGAGGTTCCCAAGAGCATTTGATGTTCCGAAGTCGATCCCTGGGTGAAGGTCCTCTGGGCCAAACCCCCCGTGGTACTCGTCGATCACGGGGTCAAACAAGTTATTGAACAACATGTAGGACTCTGCATCAGGGGCATAAAGTCCGATGTTTGAGTCTGGGTTTGCCAGGCCGGACTTGATAACGTCCAATAGGGTGGCTCCATTGAGCGTGACACGTCGTTTGAGTTTCTCGAAGACGTCTGGAGTAAGGTACTTCTTCATCATGGAGTGACTCTCCATATCACGCAACTTCTCGTACTCCTCCTCGAGCTTCTGTAGCGTCTCCTCGTCGATGGTCTCCATGTCGTCCTCCTCCCCACCGTAGTAACTGAAGGCTGCTGGAGAACGGCACAAGGTAGGAGATCACACACTGCTACTTGAAGGGTCAGAGCAGGTGCCTCTAAATCGTGAGCACGAGACACTTTGTGAGTAATACATGTGTTCCAGTGTGGGATTACTCACACTCAAGCCTCTCACCTCACACTTGAGTGAATAATCCTGGCACTCAAGCAGGAGTACCTTACCCTCGAGCTCCACATCTCACCGGAGGATGAACTCTTCCTGGAGCTGGAGTGTGACCAACCTCACCCGTGCAATCTGAGGGTCCTGTTGCACACACGATCATGCATCAACAACACCTAGGTGAACACACAACAACAATAACAAAATTTAATGCACATGCGTGAATACAGTGTGGTAGTTGAAGTGTAGGGTGTGGCACAGGGCAAGCTTTTGGGTGAGGTAAACACACACACACACACACAGGTGGCAATGGTGGGGTGATACGGAAACAGAGGAAGAGCTTTGGGAATAGACATGTTTGTTGGGTGGTAAGAGAGCAGATTGTGACATTCTGTGTATGCTGTTTTACACTTAGTTAACAAGTGATATGCTGCTTTACACTTAATTAACAAGTGGTATGCTGCTTTACACTTAGTTAACAAGTGGTATGCTGTTTTACACTTAATTAACAACTGGTATGCTGCTTTACACTTAATTAACAAGTGGTATGCTGCTTTACACTTCATTAACAAGTGGTATGCTGTTTTACACTTAGTTAACAAGTGGTATGCTGCTTTACACTTAGTTAACAAGTGGTATGCTGCTTTACACTTAGTTAACATGTGGTATTCTGCTTTACACTTAATTAACAAGTGATATGCTGCTTCACACTTCATCAACAAGTGATATGCTGCTTTACGCCTGAAAAAACAGCTTTCCCTGAAGGAAGGGAAGATAATTATTATGCCTGTATGTTAATGTTGTCTAGAAGAAAGTACCATTTCCTTAAGCTGTACATGTGGCAAGTGTCGACGGGTGTGTGAGGGAGGCTGTGCTCAGGTGTATACATAACCGATCAGTTTTATATCTGTGGGGAAAATGTTAAAAGTAATGTTGAAAATGTGTCCCATACTCTGTAACCTCGTATGATGATGATAGGAAGAGTGAACGTGGGGCTAGAGAGAAAAGAATGATGATAGTGGGGAAGACTAACGATGGTAATGGAGAGAGAGAGAGAGAGAGAGAGAGAGAGAGAGAGAGAGAGAGAGAGAGAGAGAGAGAGAGAGAGAGAGAGAGAGAGAGAGAGAGATAAAGAAAGGATGAACTTGGGGTATTTGAAAAATGTTATCAATACCAGAACACTATATATATATATATATATATATATTTATTATGACATTAACCCTTACATTGCTCCAATCGTCATATGTAATTTTTTTTCTCCATTCGCTAACTATATTTAATCATGAACACCTCGGTGTAGAAGTTTTAAACCACTGTGAATTTAGGGGTTTAAAGCTCACTTTGTTCCGGCGTAGCCTAGGTTTGAAGTTAAGATTATCACAACTGTATATATGTTTGAAAGATAATAGACATATTTTGCAAGAAAGTTTATGGAAAGAATATTTATATAGATGAAAACATATGTTAACAAGAATAGAACAAAATTGACCATTATCCTGTCAAAAGTTACGATGGATACTATTGTTAAATGAATGTATGTAACAATTCCCAGCAAAAAGGTCATGTTGGTGTAAAGATGCCATTTTCAGTTTATGTAAAAAAAGAACCATATGTTATTAATACAATGTATCAGTTTGATCATTGTGATATGACACCTATTGCTCTCATTTGCAAGAATCCCTATTCATGGCTACAGCTGAACACTTCATCCGAACACAGTGTCATTTGACCCATTCAGATGTAAGGTGGAAGGAGTCTATACACAATGTTGTGGTTAGCTAGCATGAAGGTTTTTGAGGTAGAACTATCATGTAATGACTGGCTACCTTACCTTGAGGTTACCTTGAGGTGCTTCCGGGGCTTAGCGTCCCCGCGGCCCGGTCGTCGACCAGGCTAGTTACATGATAAATTTTGTGATACTGTTCCCGAGATAATCATGTAACTAACCTTTTCCACTACCACTCAAAAGATGGGTATGTGGACCGTTACCTCCCCACCCCCCCACAGGATGGGTATGTAGTCCACTACCCCCCCTCCCCCCCCCCAACAGGATGGGTATGTGGCCTCTAACCCCCCCACCCCCTCCCACACAGGATGGTTATGAGGTGCATTATAAATGAACTAAACTAAAACTTAGTTAATTTGTTAATGTGTTTAACACGATGACTCATTCATTTTGAAATATAAAGCATAAGTTTTACTTTTTCTTTTATAATTATTAATTCTTTCCATTATTTTACTCAATATAATATACTTCATTACTTTTATATAAAGTATTTATAGATCTTTATTAATCCTCTATTTCATATTATATTATTAATTAGCAGTATATAGGCTAAAGTTAAAATATTTATAACATAGCAGTTTATTTTCATAATACTTTTTCGTAATGTTATATTAAATATTCATGAATTATAAATAATTATTACAAATGGGGGAAAACTTGTTTTTTTATTTATTCCGACTATCAAATTTCTTAACTTTTATCAGAGATATTCCTATGCGGGCCCTAAACCTCTGGCCGGCCAACTAAGTGTTATTTGTTTCTGTTTACTGAAAGAACTGGGCTCATTCAGTCTATTCTCTTGAGTTTCCCCTCAATATTGGCTTTGCCTTACAACGTGGACAACCCACCTAACCTGCCAGTGCCAATACTCGTTATAGTGAGTAGGTTAATGTAACTACGTCATTGCTACAACATCCAAACAAGTTTTAACACCTAACAAGTTATGATAACGTTCTAAGACGTGATAAAAACGTTATAAGAACGTTTTAAAACATGATAAGAACGTTATAACAACGATCTAATACATGATAAAAACGTTATAACAACGTTCTAATACATTATAAAACGTTATAAAAACGTTCTAAAACGTGACAAAAACGTTATAACAACGTTCTAAAACGTGATAAAAATGTTATAACAACGTTCTAAAACGTTATAACAAGGAGTAAAAACTCTATTACAAGTTGTAACAAACAGAAAATAGAGAGAATTACGTTGTGTGTTGCAGGGATAAGAACGTCTATCAACTCTTAAGAGGCTATACTCCCTGTCACTAAAGAGGCTATACTCCCTGTCACTAAAGAGGCTATACTCCCTGTCACTAAAGAGGCTATACTCCCTGTCACTAAAGAGGCTATAACTCCCCGCCACTCTCCAGCACCAAAACACCTCGGATATAATTTAAAAATACATAGTTAACACTCTTGAACTAATTTTATAATGATAATGTGGATTTTATCCCTTAGTAATTCTCACTCATTGTTCATCCCCTAATATCCTCTCACTATGTCTCTCTTCCTGTCCCTCACTATGTGAGGCGTTCATGGTGCCTCACTTCTCATACCTTCAAATTCCCTCAAATACTTTCTCTTCATTTTGTTAATTTTAATTATAATTCATATTGTCTGGAACAGGCAGCCTGTATATATATATATATATATATATATATATATATATATATATATATATATATATATATATATATATATATTAGTATATATATTTTGGTAGCAGTCTTTCCTGTAGACATATTTTATTAAATATGACCGAAAAAGTAAGATTAATAATTCTAACACGAATTTTCTCAATCTTTCGTACATTATGCTTCACTGTTGGAGGTAAATCAAAAATCACTTCTCCAAAATTCATTTTTATTTCTAGTCTGACGCGACACGGGCGCGTTTCGTAAAACTTATTACATTTTCAAAGACTTCACAAATACACAACTGATTAGAACTTGCGTTTCCCTGATTTTATATCTACATTTGAGTGAGGTGGGAAGGGTGATGTGGCATTACATTTGAGTAAGGTGGGAAGGATGATGTGGCATTAGAGGATATTAATAGGGTATTAAAAGTATCAACACAAGACAGAACACGAAACAATGGGTATTGAATAGAAGTGTTTGTAGAAAGCCTATTGGTCCATATTTCTTGATGCTTCTATATTGGAGCGGAGTCTTGAGGTGGGTAGAATATAGTTGTGCAATAATTGGCTGTTGATTGCTGGTGTTGACTTCTTGATGTGTAGTGCCTCGCAAACGTCTAGCCGCCTGCTATCGCTGTATCTATCGATGATTTCTGTGTTGTTTACTAGGATTTCTCTGGCGATGGTTTGGTTATGGGAAGAGATTATATGTTCCTTAATGGAGCCCTGTTGTTTATGCATCGTTAAACGCCTAGAAAGAGATGTTGTTGTCTTGCCTATATACTGGGTTTTTTGGAGCTTACAGTCCCCAAGTGGGCATTTGAAGGCATAGACGACGTTAGTCTCTTTTAAAGCGTTCTGTTTCGTGTCTGGAGAGTTTCTCATGAGTAGGCTGGCCGTTTTTCTGGTTTTATAGTAAATCGTCAGTTGTATCCTCTGATTTTTGTCTGTAGGGATAACGTTTCTATTAACAATATCTTTCAGGACCCTTTCCTCTGTTTTATGAGCTGTGGAAAAGAAGTTCCTGTAAAATAGTCTAATAGGGGGTATAGGTGTTGTGTTAGTTGTCTCTTCGGAGGTTGCATGGCTTTTCACTTTCCTTCTTATGATGTCTTCGATGAAACCATTGGAGAAGCCGTTATTGACTAGAACCTGCCTTACCCTACAGAGTTCTTCGTCGACTTGCTTCCATTCTGAGCTGTGGCTGAGAGCACGGTCGACGTATGCGTTAACAACACTCCTCTTGTACCTGTCAGGGCAGTCGCTGTTGGCATTTAGGCACATTCCTATGTTTGTTTCCTTTGTGTAGACTGCAGTGTGGAAACCTCCGCCCTTTTCCATGACTGTTACATCTAGAAAAGGCAGCTTCCCATCCTTTTCCGTCTCGTAAGTGAAACGCAGCACGGAACTCTGCTCAAATGCCTCCTTCAGCTCCTGCAG